TGGTGTCCAAATGATTCAGTGACTGGATAATTCAGTGTCTGAATGACTCGGAGTCTGAATGATTCAGTGACTGGATGATTCAGTGTCTGAATGATTCAGTGACTGGATGATTCGGAGTCTGAATGATTCAGTGACTGGATGATTCAGTGTCTGGATGATTCAGTGTCTGGATGATTCAGTGTCTGAATGATTCTGTGTCTGAATGATTCGGTGACTGGATGATTCAGTATCTGAATGATTCAGTGACTGGATGATTCAGTGTCTGAATGATTCAGTGACTGGATGATTCAGTGACTGGATGATTCAGTGTCTGGATGATTCAGTGTCTGACTGATTCAGTGACTGGATGAATCAGCGTCTGAATGATTCGGAGTCTGAATGATTCGGTGACAGGATGATTCAGTGTCTGGATGATTCAGTGTCTGAATGATTCAGTGACTGGATGAATCAGCGTCTGAATGATTCGGAGTCTGAATGATTCGGTGACAGGATGATTCAGTGACTGGATGATTCAGTGTCTGAATGATCATTCAGTGACTGGATGATTCGGTGTCTGAATGATCATTCAGTGACTGGATGATTCAGTGTCTGAATGATTCTGTGACTGAATGATTCAGTGTCTGAATGATTCAGTGACTGAATGATTCAGTGTCTGGATGATTCAGTGTCTGGATGATTCAGTGTCTGAATGATTCAGTGACTGGATGATTCAGTGTCTGATTGATCCGGTGTTTACAGGTTGAAAACCAACGAGCTTCACATTTTCAGATCAAAATTTTTTACTGTTTGAAAGCCTTAAAATTTCAGCACCAGCTTTTTAAAACACATTACCATCTCATGAAATCACTTATTTTTATTATAATTTTTATCCTGCTTCTCAGACTTTCCACTTCTACTCCTGCAATGTTTGTGATCAAAGTGAATAATTTAAGCTGAGGTTTACACACGATACGTGAAAAACTGGACCAATACCTGCCACCAAGATTATCGGGTGTTTTAAAACGTTTTTCAACGYAGTGCAATGAATAAATATGTTCAAATGTAGAAACAATGACTTGTTTGTTTTCACAGTAACTTGAATAATAAAAGGTGGGACAGTGCCTTMAATCATCTGGTTTGGGTTTTTATTAGAAGAGATGTRAACWTTATATYATTTACAGTAAGAGAAAAWTAATTAAAACAGTGATACAAATAGGCTYTAYAATCTCAGAGAATATGACTTTWTAATCTCAGAAAATATGGTTCTGAAACGTCTATAATCTCAGTGGTTATGGCTCAAATATTTCAGGAACTAAAGGTCCAAAATGTTAGGGGAGACATATAATTTAAAGAGTAATAAATAAAACCCTTGACGAACGGTCTCATGTAGGATTATTTCCACACTTGTGTACTTTTTAAGTAATTCTATAAATTAATGACAGTAAATAAGTAGAAATCTGAACAATTTTAACCCAAACGTCCAGCTCCACAACAGACTCAAGTGGGTAGTTGGTAGCTAAGCTAAAAATTAATTTAAAAATGTACTTGTACATGAGTATTTAATGGTTTTACAGAATTAAAAGATGCGATCCATCTTTAAAACTCGTCTGAAGTACACAGAATGGCTGATTTAAATACAAACACATAAAAATTAAAAATAAAAGCATGAGAGCTGCAGGAGGTGGAGGTTTCTGTCAGCAGAAAACAACAGAAGTTAAGTTCTTCTCACTTTAGAGTGGAGATCCTCTGGACCGTCTGCAGTTGGTTCCACACAAAGTCCTGTCTCGGACCTTTTGACCTGTGCATACACCCCGTCCTGCTGCTTGCTGTCCTGCACCGAGACTGAGGAGGACTTGGCTTTCCTCTGGATGAAGT